TACGGCATGCGCGACTATGAGTACACCCCCCCCTTCCCCCCAATCTCACCCAGCTCCTCCACGTTGAACTCCTTCGGGATGCCGACTGTAACGCCTTCAAGCGGCCACGACGACGAGCTCCCCGCTGCCGCCGCTCCCAGCAGGTCGGACGCAAAGCCGCCACCGCCGGCGCGACCCTTCCCGGCAGGTATACAGGTGGAGTCCCTCGAGTCCGGCCCTGCCACGACGTCCAGCACCATGGCGGCGTCCAAGATGGAGCGTGCGAGGACACCTGGTGTATCCTGCGAGGAGGGGCGGGGAAAGCAGGGAGCTTTCGGGGACTGTCGCTGGTTGGAGCCAAATGTTGCGCACATGTTCCTCGCGGGCACGTCGACCGGTGGAGAATCGGACAAGGGGTTTTTGTATGGGGTATCGGAAGACCGCCCGCTGCCGTGGTCGATGGTGCCGAAGTCGGGCGTGTAAACGACGACCCGTCTCTACCCGACGGTAAAACTTTAAAGCATTCTGTGTGCGTGTGTGTGTCATCCTTTTTCACCTGTTGTCTGGACGCATCACCCGCGGTCACACAGGAGAAAGGCGGCACATGGGGTGCTGTTTTAACTTATATACACCTTTGCGTACAAGAAAAAAAAAACGTCCCCCGGTCTCCTACAAAAAACGACTTCAACTCCCTCGCGTCGGTCACATCACGAAGACCATACTGCTACGCGTCAATGCGTACCAGTGAACTCGCGTAGGCGATGAGCCCATGACGCGGAATCAAGCCGTACGTCGGCTTCAGCCCGACCACGCCACAGAACGCCGCGGGCTGTCGCACGGACCCCCCGGTGTCCGACCCTAACGCCGCGAAGCTGCACCCCGACGATACCGCCGCGGCGCTTCCTCCGGAACTCCCTCCCGGCACCAAAAAAGGCGCCTCGGTGTTCTTCTCGTCGCCCGGGCTTTCTGCTTTTGGGTTGTGGCAGTGCGGTAAACGAGCGTGTGAGCTTGGGCGGTGCCTAATCTGCTTTTACATACCTCTGTGTTTGCTTGCCGGCAGAATATTTTTCTTCCGGTGCACTAATAGTGGTGCAGGCGAAAAGAAGTTTCGGGCAAAACTTCTTGGTCAAAGGCCGATGCGCCCATCTGTACTCGCGCCCGTCTCGCCCTCTCCCACCCCCACGGAATAGGTTCTCATAGCTCTTCAATTAGTCCGAGTGGAACTCCTTGTCAAACTCGTACAATAGGTGAGTAGTGGAGAGAACATTTATCCTCCACCCGTCGGCACGCACCGGGAGACCAAGGGTTTAGCGTCCGGCCGTACTCGCTGAAGAGCGTCCCCGACCCCATGCCGAACTCGTCCATGTTGGTCTTGCCCATCAAGATCGACCCCACTTGCCGCAAGCGGCCTGTCGGTGTCGAGTCGTAGGGCGGCGTGAAGCCGGCCAGGGCGGCGGAGGATGCCGTCGTCTGAACGCCGAGGGTGCAGAAGTTGTCCTTCGCGGCGTACGGGATGCCGTCAAGAGGCCCCGTGAGAGTCCCTGTGGAGGGGGGCGGGAGTTGCAGCGGGTTTTGCACATGCTGTAGGCGGCAGAAATGCGGTGGATGTGCAAAGGACTGGCCAACGAGTCATGCGGTCTAGCTGTGGGTCGGATGTCATTTGGCTTGCGTGTCACTATGCCACATGTGAATATGATAGGGTTGGGTGGTCTACAAAAAACACGAGGGTTGAACTGCAAATTTGTGGCAGGTTGTTGTATGACAGGGCTGGCGTTCCACAGAATGAATCGAGAGAAAGACCAACATGACTACCTTGGTGTCCGCGGACCAAACTACAAAACGCGTCACTTTCCATGCCTGTAAACTGTAAGCAGCAGCAGAGCAGCTGTTTCACACAAACGCCAGCTTACCGTTGGCCTGCCGCGCATCTGCCGCTTCGGCTTCCAACCGCGCGGAATCGAAGCACCGCGTCACGAAGCAGTTCAGCCAGCTCGACCGTTCCATCTGCTTGATGCAAGCCTCCGCCAGCTCGGAAGGCCGCACATCCCCCTCTTGCACCTTCCTCGAAGCCTTTTTGTTACCGTGTGTGCAGGGGGTGCCGGGCATCAGAGGGGTGTGATACGGGTACGACCCGTGGGGATCACCCACGCGGTGTACGGAATTCCGGCAGGGCTCTTGTGGGCGTGCCACGTCGTTTGTACACAGCAGTAACAACCTAACAGCCACATCGGAAGCTACCATATATGGCTCGGCCCCATATATGTCGGCAGGCAATGCTTAGGTCATAGCTACAGAACATGCGCTGTGGATGGTGTAAAGTTGGGTTTCGAGTGAGATTAAAGTCTTGGACGTGGTGGTCCGGTGCCGTCCGGTAGCTAGGCAATAGTTCGGTGCGCTGTGCGTGGTGGGCTACTACAAGTAAATACGAGCATCACGATTACATCAGTCGGGTGGTGCACTACTGGTGTGGTTCATTGTTTGGTCGTTGTTTTCTTTGGTAGACCTCTACAGAGTTTTGTAGATGGACTACTACGCATACATAGCTCTTTCCCGGTGCAGCACAGCAGGTTACAATTATGGAAAACTTATGTGGAACTTGAACTGATGGCAACAGCAGCGTGAAGGGCGTGCATATGCTAACTTCGAAGTTGCATACATTCAAGTACTTCGTGTACGCATAGCCTACATGTCGACAGCGTACAGTACGCTACACACCGCTTCGTGTACCTAATCTGTCGAAATGTCGACAGCGTACAGTACAGCAGTACATACCGCTCCTTCCTACTGCCACTCTCTGCTGCTGCCACACACGGTTACAGATTATGGATGTCGAGTCACACTCAAAACATAGCAGCAACACCGCAGTTGCCGAGTTCTGACAGCAGAAATCCTTCCATTCACCATGATGACTTTACCAATTGCCTGCAACCAACCAGGCAACCAGTGATGGGCGTAGCCCCGCAGGTTTGTAAAGTCGGTGCGGGTTGGTGCTCTCACCTCAGCCAGAGACAGTCCTGAATGCAGCGACGCGTCGGCAGTAACCGAAGAAAAGAACCGGCGTTGTCTACGCCGAGCTTGCCCGCAAGCTGACCTCATCAGCTTTCTTCTTTCCCTTCGCTGTATGGGGTGCGTGAGCACGTGAACACGCAACGGCGGAGACGGCCTGAGCGCTGAGCGCCTGTGGCGCTTGCTGCTTACAGTTGTAATTACGCCGCATTCGGCCACCTCCGCCAATCAAAACGCGCGGCGAATAAAAGGCAAGTGCGGCGGTGCCCACGTCCACCACGACACCCGCGAGCGTCGTGGAGCAGAACAGGTTTCCCTGGAGGGGAGGATAATGCGCGTCCTCCATGTGGAAGGTAAATATCTCCCTTTTTCCGCTACCTTCGCACCTTCCGCGATTCGCGTCTCTGCCCGAATGTTTGAGCCATCCAAAGATTTACCGTACGCGAGTAGTCTAGTCTAACCTAGAGACGATGCCGCCTGTGCAACCTAACCATTGACTGCCATCTGAATCGCAAGTGACGCAGCGCTGCAAAACATATCGTTCGCTCTTTGTCTGCACCAGTCCCGGAGGCCAGGGCCTTGGTTGCGAGCAACGTCAGCGAGACCACCTTCGTCGAAGTCGGTCTGCGAATCCCGGGAGAGCGGCACAAACCGACGCGATCCGCCTCAGTGCGCGAGGTGTCGAACCCACAATGGGAGGATGCATCTTTCGACTTGTGGGTGGACAGATAGATATCTGCTGAAGCCTTGAGAAAGAGCCCGATGTTCGTGACACACCCATGCCTCTCTCCTGCACTTATACTAACCGAGAATGTAAAGTAATCTAGACCTCAATTTGCGTATTAGACTATACATCGTGCAAGACAACGCGCCCAACAACGAGACCTTGCCTTTAGGTGTAGATATTCAGGTGGTGATGGTATCGCCCTACCGATGGTACGATTGGTCCGTGCCTATCACAGACTCACCTGTTGCTCTCCCCTCTTTTCCATTCATTCGTCTATTTTGTCAGTGATATCGATAGCAGCGGGACGGAGGGAGATATTGAAATCCGGGTGTTTCATGGGAAGATTCCAAACGAGGTTATGTTGGGCGAGACAATCCTGCCCCTGAACAAGCTTCCCCGTGATGGCTTCGACCGAAAACCGTAAGAAGCATGGGGGATACGTGGTTGTTTGATTTCAAACTATTTGCCCTGCATTTGTATCTTGCTGGCACGGCAGAATGGTCTGGGTTATCGAGAACTATCGATACAAACAGGCACAACCAAGACCCCCGAGAACGTGATTGGGTTGGTGACATGTAGCATGTGGTTTCCGGTATAAAACCTTGGATTGCTGCTCGGGTGTGATCTTAGACCAAGAATTTGCCTGTAGGAAAAGGTAACGCAGAGGGATGAGGTACATCGTGTGTTCATTCGAAGGTCGAAAGCCCTGCGTATCGCAAACTGACTAGACTAAGACTCTTTGTCGTTTATCTCGCTTGACAGGGTCCGGCTGGACAAGCGAAAGGGAATCGTTCGAGTCACGGCACGTTTTGACAAAGTCAAGCATGGTGGGAGATATGGCAATACCGATAACCATGGTCAGCGTCTGGAGCACGGTAGCCCCACGCGCTCGAGCCGCCGAGCCAGCAGCGATGCAGGAAACATTGATGACAGTCGCACTGTGGGTGAGAGGCGAGGCAGGAGTCATGAACGAGATAATCGAGTGTCCAGCAGGTGCGTACGCGTTTATTTCGATTTTGAAGACGGTGGTGAGTGGGGAACTTGAGGACTGTTGCGAGTTGTATGATATAGTTGGGAGCAACCAGCGTGGGATGGGCGAGTGGTGGAACATGTGAACAAGATAAGGAACACCAGGAAAGCATGCTCCTGCTTGCACTTTCTGTGGCGAGATTACACTTTGGGAACGCTGCAAGTTGCACGGACTGAGCGAGCACTGGAGTTGGTGGAGAAAGATGGCGCGAAAAAAACGGTGGGGCACGTCCTATGTGATCAGCTCAGCCACGCATCACCTCGGCCTCCTCGGATGAGTTCGATTCGCACAGCCAAGGACTGATCAAGATGGGCTTCCGTGGTTCAGAGTAGAACTGACTCGTCGCAACCTACAACTCGTGGCCCATCATCGTAACTTGAACGTTAACCCGACAGGGTGCTTGGTACTTCCAGGTATCGGGGTCCTGTCCTATTCTGAGCGTGTCTAGCACGAACTTCTGACCGACAGTCGAGGTTGTACATCATTTTTCAAACCACACTTCCAAGCGTACGCATTCGCGTATCCATTGCTTCTGCTGCTGTCCGCTTTGCTGAATTAGGTCACCACGCGGGCGGACACGTGGAGAAAGAGCAGCGTCAGGCGAAAGCGACACGTCCCGTGAACGCGGAAGCAGCGACGGAAGCGCGTTCGGACACAGAAGCAGAGACCGCCATGGTGAAGAGGACAGACGATATCGCCCAGGGCCTAGTGGTAGCAGTTCGACTGCTGCTTTCGGTCGCCTTGAGTCCAAATCTCCGCGGGCGGATGAGTTGAACAACGAGGGTCGTGGTCAAAGAAGCGGTGGTGGGTCTGCTGGGGGCTTGGCCCGGGGAGACAGAGTCGAGGCAAGGTACAGAGGCCGCGGCACCAAGTTCTACAAGGGCAGGATCTCGAGAATAAACAGTGACAAAACGATGGATATTGCTTATGATGACGGAGAAAAGGAGATTGGGATTGCGGCAGAGCATGTTCGATCTTTGGAGCCAACAGCCGGTGACAGGCGCGGGAGGACAAGCAAGATGGCAAAGGGAGACAGAGTCGAGGCGAGGTATCGCGGAAAGGGAACCAGGTTCTACAAGGGCAAGATCTCCAGAGTCAATAGTGACCAGACATTCGACATTGCTTATGACGACGGGGAAAAGGAGATTGGGATTGCGTCAGAGCATGTTCGATCTTTGGAACCGATGAACAGCGACAGTGGTGATGTCAGAGGGAGCAAGATGGCACGGGGAGACAGAGTCGAGGCAAGGTACCGCGGAAAGGGAACCAGGTTCTACAAGGGCAAGATCTCCAGAGTCAATAGTGACCAGACGTTCGATATTGCCTATGATGACGGGGAAAAGGAGATTGGGATTGCGTCGGAGCATGTTCGATCTTTGGAACCAGCGATGAGTGACGGTGGTGGTGTCAGAGGGAGCAAGATGGCACGGGGAGACAGAGTAGAGGCGAGGTATCGCGGAAAGGGAACCAGGTTCTACAAGGGCAAGATCTCCAGAGTCAATAGTGACCAGACGTTCGATATTGCTTATGACGACGGGGAAAAGGAGATTGGGATTGCAGCGGAGCATGTTCGATCTTTGGAACCGATGAACAGCGACAGTGGTGGTGTCAGCGGAAGCAAGATGGCAAAGGGAGACAGAGTCGAGGCAAGGTATCGCGGAAAGGGAACCAGGTTCTACAAGGGCAAGATCTCCAGAGTCAATAGTGACCAGACGTTCGATATTGCTTATGATGACGGGGAAAAGGAGATTGGGATTGCAGCGGAGCATGTTCGATCTTTGGAACCGATGAACAGCGACAGTGGCGGTGTCAGAGGGAGCAAGATGGCACGGGGGAACAGAGTCGAGGCGAGGTATCGCGGAAAGGGAACCAGGTTCTACAAGGGCAAGATCTCCAGAGTCAATAGTGACCAGACGTTC